ACGTTGTGAACAGAGTGCCCCATGGTGGCGGTGTGGTTATGGTATGGGCAGGCATAAGCTATGGACAACGAACACAATTGCATTTTATCGATGGCAATTTGAATGCACAGAGATACCTTGACGAGATCCTGAGGCCATTGTTGAGCCATTCATCCGCCGCCATCACCTCATGTTTCAGCATGATAATGCACAGCCCCATGTCGCAAAGATCTGTACACAATTCCTGGAAGCTGAAAATGTCCCAGTTCTTGCATGGCCTGCGTACTCACCATGCATGTCACCCATTGAACAAGTTTGGGATGCTCTGTATCCAGCAACTTCGCACAGCCATTGAAGAGGAGTGGGACAACATTCTACAGGCCACAATCAACAGCCTGATCAACTCTATGCGAAGGAGATGTGTCACGCTGCATAAGGCAAATCGTGATCACAGCGGATACTGACTGGTTTTCTGATCCACGCCCCTACCTTTTTTTAAGGTATCTTTGACCAGTGCATTCTGAAAGTATTCAGACCCATGACTTTTTCCACATTTTGTTACGTTATAGCCTTAATCTAAAATTGATTAAGTCGTTTTTTTCCCTCAGCAATCTACACACAGTACCCCATAATGACAAAGCAAAAACAGATTTTTAGAAATTTGTGCAAATGTATAAAAAATAATAAACTGAAATATCACATTTACATAAGTATTCAGACCCTTTACTCAGTACTTTGTTGAAGCACCTTTGGCAGCGATTACGCTACATGCTTGGCACACCTGTATTTGGGGAGTTTGTCCCATTCTTCTCTGCAGAGCCTCTCAAGCGCTGTCAGTTTGGATGGAGAACGTTGCTGCACAGCTATTTTCAGGTCTCTCCAGAGATGTTCGATCGGGTTCAAGTCCGGGCTCTGGCTGGGCCACTCAAGGACATTCAGAGACTTGTCCCGAAGCCACTCCTGCGTAGTCTTGGCTGTGTGCTTAGGGACGTTGTACTGTTGGAAGGTGAACCTTCGCCCCAGTCTGATGTGCTGAGTGCTCCAGAGCAGGTTTTCATCAAGGATCTCTCTGTACTTTGCTCTGTTCATCTTTGCCTCGATCCTGACTAGTCTCTCAGTCCTTGCAGCTGAAAAACATCCCCACAGCTTGATGCTGCCACCACCATGCTTCACCGTAGGGATGGTGCCAGGTTTCCTCCAGACGTGACACTTGGCATTCAGGCCAAAGAGTTCAATCTTGGTTTCATCAGACCAGAGAATCTTGTTTCTCATGGTCTGAGAGTCTTTAGGTGCCTTTTGGCAAACTCCAAGCGGGCTGTCATGTTCCTTTTACTGAGGAGTGGTTTCCATCTGGCCACTCTACCATAAATGCCTGATTGGTGGAGTGCTGCAGAGATGGTTGTCCTTCTGGAAGGTTCTCCCATCTCCACAGAGGAACTCTAGAGCTCTGTCAGAGTGACCATCGGGTTCTTGGCCCACCTCCCTGACCAAGGCCCTTCTCCACCGATTGCTCAGTTTGGCCGGGCAGCCAGCTCTAGGAAGAGTCTTGGTGGTTCCAAACTTCTTCCATTTAAGAATGATGGAGGCCACTGTGTTCTTGGGGCACTTCAATGCTGCAGAAATGTTTTGGTACCCTTCCCAAGATCTGTGCCTTGACACAATCCTGTCTCGGAGCTCTACGGACAATTCCTTCGACCTCATTGCTTGGTTTTTGCTCTGACATGCACAGTCAACTGTGGGATCATATATATACAGGGGTGTGCCTTTCCAAATCATATCCAATCAATTGAATTTACCACAGGTGGACTCCAATCAAGTTGTAGAAACATCTCAAGGATGATCACTGGAAACAGGATGCACCTGAGCACAAATTTGAGTCTCATAGCAAAGGGTCTGAATACATATGTAAATAAGGTATTTCCGTTTTTTGGTTTTTAATAAATTTGCTAAAATTTCTAAAAACCTGTTTTTGCTTTGTCATTATGGGGTATTGTGTGTAGATTGCTGAGATTTTTCATTCATTGAATCAATTTTAGAATAAGGCTGTAACGTAACAAAATGTGGGAAAAGTCAATATGTCTGACTACCCACCCGAAGGCACTGTATATCTGTATTCCCAGTCATGTTAAATCCATAGATTAGGGCCTAATGAATTTATTTCAATTGACTGATTTCCTTATATGAACTGTAACTCAGTAAAATCAAAAAAAATTGTTGCATGTTACGTTTATATTTTTGTTTGGTATAAATGTCCAACATGGAACCAGAACTTCCACCATATTGGATTATTTTCCTCTTCATTTATTAATCACTGGTAGAAATTCCATGTCATTTCATATCAATGCTCTTTGTACTGGTCCATATTTAAATTGTTGCTGTGGCAAAAGAGGCCTATAGAATTTTAGAATATATGACAGTTTGACACCAGTGTACCAAATGCAACTTAATGAACTTGGCTGACATAAGCTAACGCTAATACATTTCTTATATTGTATTTCTTATACAATCATATTTCGATGCAATTTCCATTGTCTCAAACAAACATTAAACTGTATGACACACAGTCGTGCAATTTGGGACACATATAGTAGGGTAGAGCATTAGCCATTCCAGGAGTATTATGCCATTTATCCACATCGTGGGCTATGTGCTTATTTGTTTGGAACTGTACTACCTTTATTGTTGTTATCATCACATTCGTCCCCATTTGTTTTAGTCCCCAGACTTCCATGGTTTTGGTCACTGCAACTGCTTTTTAAAGAGACAGTTCCCCTCCTTGTGTGACATTGTTGTGTGTGTTTTGAATGGTTAAACTCAATCATTTTCATAGGCCAAAGTGGGATTTTTCCTATTCCATTGAAAACACTTCTATTGAAAAGGCGTCCAAGGGTTCTTAAATACAGAGACTGCAAAGGTCCTTTTCGCTGCGTAGCCTGGCTTCCAGACACAAAGTTTTTTCCAGTGTCCATTTTGACAGTTCTACAACTCTCTTAAGAATTGTAATTTTTCAACTAAGCCCATCTAGTTCCGAAACTTTATAGAGGTGAGTCAGACCATATTCTCAATATCACTTTCACTGCCTCAATCACATTTTTGAATGTATGTACAGTTTCCCATAAGGTAGTGGTTATGGTTAGGGTTTATGTTAGGGTTAGGGTAAGATAACAAACAAAAACACTCCCCCCAAACACGTATGCTACTATTTAACATGACCCTGGTTATCAGCTTAGGGGGACTAATACAACAACTAAAATGTCCTTCCCGTTGTGTCAGCATTTCCTTTATAGTGCTGTATGAGTTCACCATACACAGAAAAGGCTACACTAGGTAGCATTGCAACCCAAAATAACACAGATGAAGGTCCTCTCCATAGGGCATAACACTTCATTTGAATACCAAATAAATATTAAATAAACAGCTATTCAAACCCATTGTTGATGAAGGTACAACATGGCCTTTTTTTTAATCATTACTGGATTATCATCATGATGAATGTATGAAAGAAATTGAAAAAACACACTTGACTTTTTTGGTAGCCATATATACTGTATATAATATGTATCCACACTCGTACCACACGTCACAAAGTTCAAGTTATTTCACAACAACAGCACCAAAGAGCTTTGACTGATTTATCCCTTACATTCATTCATTCATTCATTATTTTTCAGATATACATACTAATCATCTATTAATTACGGACATGAATAATTTACAATAAAATAACAATTTTAGGTACAATTCTAATTTTTCTTTCTTTTATACTACAGTAATTTCACTCAGTCACCTCATGTTCCTTTCCTTCTAAACCTTCCGCCATGGTGACTGATCTTAAAACATTTTACATGGGAAAAGGTCTTAAAAGATTGCAAAACCTTCTGCACTGTTTTCAATCATGTAGCATCAAGCTAAATTCAGTACTTCCAACTATGCAAGCTGCTTACTGAAGTTCAAAAGCTTTTCCAGAACCCTTTCCTCCATCGTCTCTTTCCTCAACCCCACATTTCCAAGCTTTTCTCCAACTCGTACCTGTACATGAAAATCTGGACTACCACTCAGTATTATAAAAATCACAGACGAAAAATTGGAACACTGCAGCTTTAAGACATGAAAGTCACACATTTAGACTGTGTTAAAAATCATATTGGGAAAACCCTCACAAACCCATTTATAAAACAACTAACACAGAACAATTGAACTATCATACTGTATGACAACATTTTTCTTTAGTTTGTTTTGGCCCAAACATAAAAACAAATACAAACTGGTATAAAATACTGTTATTGTAGCTTAATATTGCAAAACATCTGCATATGTAAATGCATTTGTATGTTAAATGCATGTGTTCCTCATGAGTATCTGCAAATGGAAAAAGAATCCTGTGATATTTCCGTAAACTGAAATGTCATATTTGACAAGGGCCGAACTAACTCCAAGTTCACCATGCCGTCCTGAACTGACAGTCTGTCACCTGAACTCCACAAGCTGTAATGCTTGTTAACTCTCTACATCTACACACTGTGACATAAGTCTACCCCAAACAAGCAAATAATGAAACACAAAATCAAAAAGATACCATCATGTTACACCCATGGCCAACCACTGAAAAGCTTTGTGTGTAATGTGTCAATTACCTCCAGCAGCTAAACATTTGTGATGTGTTACCAAAACATAAAGACTCATTTTTGGGGCTTTTTTTCTGAATAAATGTGAGAAAATGTGGCAGAATAGTTTTATGCTGCCCCTTTGCAATCTCATGGATAATTGTTTCTCGTAGCATTTATATTGAAATTCAGAACATGGAGATGAAACTTTAATTTAGTGCAAAAGCTTTAAAAAATCTCCCTGTTTTTATAAGACTGAAAATGTGTATGTCTTTGTTTTCCTCCCTCTGAGAGGCATCAGATGTTCAGTTGGATTTACATGAACGACAACCACAACACAAACAGGACAGAAGAGGGCGAAACAAACAAAACCAAGACAATAAAAAGCAAGGAGAGCAACGAAATGAATCAAAAACATCATTCGAAAACGTTTTTGTCCATACTCTCCTTGCCATTGGTCCGTGAGTAAGGTTCAAAAGCAGAAGAGCTCAGATAGCGGGCAGACAGTTCCTGCAGGTTCCCGGCCATAGAAAGCGGATTGGAGGACATGCGGGTGGCCACGCTGCCCAGCAGAGAGGGCATGGGGAAGCTGAACAGGCCATGAGCTGACGGGGAGCTCTGGAGGCCCGCCACCGTCCCTGAACTGGTCACTATGGGCAGAGGGGGACTGCCGCCGGCCGTCCCTGAGCTGGCACCACTGCTGCTGCTGCTGCTTCCATTGCTGGCCATGCCCATGGAGGGCCCTCGCAGGGCGGCACCCAGGGTGCCATTGCCACAGTGCTGCAGGAGCCCCGGCAGACCTGGCGGCGTGAGGAGCCGGCCCTGCTCCAGGAGTCTTAATACACTGCAGGTGGCCGCCGTCTCCGACACCACCGAGCGCAGCTCTGAATCTTTGCCCTGGTCCTTCTTCTGCTTTGTGCGTCGGTTCTGGAACCAAACTTTAACCTTGAGGGAGGACAGAAAACCAATTCAAAATCAGCCAGAAAATAAGCAGTAGAGACCTTCAGCAACATAGGGCCTATTAATATACTTTGGTTAATATGTATTTTTTCTAATCTCTGTAGGGATTTATTGCAACACCAATGTTTGTAGAAAATGAATGAATGATTTGGATTGTTGTGAATAATTACGAATTCCCTTGTGGTCTCAGTATAGGTCACACTTTGATGTCCACATTATTTGAATTGTGATAGTAATAACATTGGTAGCATGATCAGGGAATGAGACCAGGGGGCATCAGAGTCACACATAATTTGTCTTTTTTCATAGCAGGTAGGAGCATACACTATACAGTACGCTGTTTTGGGTCTAAACTTGAGCTAAACTTTCCGTAAAGAAAAATATGTTATCACGGGAGGCATGAATAACTCTATAACATATTTTTCTCCTAGTAAAATGCAGAATGTAAGAAAAAAAAATGATCAAATGTATTTCCATGACCTTTAAAATGTTTAGCATGAACTCAAGGACATGAAAGCAACAAAAGCATGGTCAGATAGTAATGAGTATCAGGGCCGGCCCTAGCCTTTTGGTGGCCCTAGGCAAGATTTGGTTTGGGGGCCCTCGCTGGAAAAACTTTTGTGGACCCCCTCTATAATCATAATAAATAATAATAATACATCGGAGAGAAAAACAAATATTAATTGTAGTTAATTTCCTGCAATTCTACACATTTTGCCATGGGGCGTAGAGAACATTTAGCAATTTTATAACACATTTCATGCAATTCTACTCATTTTGCCATGGGGCAGAGAGATCAAATGTGCAGTTTTACAGCTAATTTCCTGCAATTCTACACATTTTGCCATGCCTTATGCCATGTTAATGATATCTGAGTGAGGATGATTTACAAAATCAATGGGGGCCCCTTGAAGGTCAGGGCCCCGGGGCACATGCCTTGCATGCCCTGCGTGCCTGGTTGGTATTTGGCCATGATTACTTCAAGTTTAGATAGCTGGCTAGACTAATTTACCAATCTAGAAATAGTTAGCTGACATGGCTAATTGAGTGACTGGCAGTGACTGGCATAACAAGAGAAAAACTGCAGATGCACAACCAAATTTCAAAATTGCACCTTGTGTATTCTACTATGCTAACTCTCAACAGTAAGTTGAGAAATGGATTGAGTTGAGGCTGGTCCTGATGAGTATATCTGTATGTGTGTGTCTGAAGTATAACAAGGACTGGGGTGTGACAATGTAAAGTGTGTATGACAGATAAACATGGCTATTGTATTCCTATTCAAGTGGATAAAGAAAAAAATGTGTTTGTGAAGAGGCCATTTTGACATTGAATAGTAAAGTAAACGCATTTCTATTCCACATGTTTGATAGTCATTCAACAATACAAATATACCTATCTTTTCCCATATGGGTTTTATAAATATCAATTGTACATATTATATTCCTTTAAAAAAAAATGTATAACAGGAGTTTGTATTTTTTTGCATTTTCTTCATGTTTTTCCCCACCTCTATCATGTCTGTGGCAATCAAACCTGATTGCTTTCATATGTGCCATAATTAGAGTGAATGTGTCTCAATCAATGAGCCTCCAGCTACAGTACCTCAAACTGCAGCTACTTCAATCACATCTGAATAGCATGTTTTCCTTCATGTTGTTGTTGTTATAGATCAACAACTCAGTAAATTCACAATGTTAGTGGGTATATCGCAAATCTATTTTACACTCTGGAAGTAAGGAATTACATTATGATAACCATATACCCTCATGTTATAAGAATATCCTAAACTATTGGTGAACATATTTTATCTGAGAGGATACATTTTCAACAATGTCCAACAAGGGGCTCTGAAGCCAACAACCCAAACAAAGATGATTAGGTGTGCACACTTCAGCAAATGGCTGTCATTTCTTAATGTAACACCCCAAGAGTGCCTTGGAACAAAATGTTAATTTCATGATATCGTCATTAGAGACTACTTAATCAATGCATGAACAAGACATTTGAAGATTTAAAGTAATCAAGTAGCATGGCTGCGTGGAACATTTAATGTTGCATGTGAAAAGACGTTAAGAAATTCAAGCCTATTGTCCTCCCCGTGAATGGGGACCTAACGGCTGTGTGAAGTCTAAAGTACCATTATTCTCTTCTAAAAACCACCAAAGAATTCTGAATTCAATGTGTGCTGACATGGTAAACCACATGTATACTGTAGCTACATACAAAATAAAAGCATCAAATGTATGGCTCAGAAAAAAAATGTATTTATCATTTTTAAATGTTGTATATGCTACATTATAAATTCCGCCAGATCATAATGAATATTTCTTATAATGATCAGAAATGTGTGAGAGAAACACGGGTCTATGTTGTGACTCACAGAAAATACCTGAGCATAATGCTCCAGTCTAACCTCTGTCTAAAGTCTAGCTTGTTTAGGCCCAATGAAGCATTCATGACATACGTAATAAACATATGCAAATGCAGCTGACTATGCCATTGGCCAGCAAGATAAATCAATAAATACAATTGTGCTGCAAATATGTCGGCCTGAGAGCAGGATTTCCCTGAAGTGAAAACATTGAAGGGTAATAAATAAGTTTGGTATCTCTTGTCAAATCAAATCAAATGTTATTTGCCACATGCGCCGAATACAACAGTGAAATGCTTATTTACAAGCCCTTAACCAACAATGCAGTTTTAAGAAAATAAAAAAAAGTGTTAAGTAAAAAATAAAAATAGCAAATAATTAAATTAAAGAGCAGCAGTAAAATAAAATAACAGTAGGGAGGCTATATACAGGGGGTACCGGTACAGAGTCAATGTGCGGGGGCACCGGTTGTCGAGAGCGAGCAGACGAGTGAAAATACAGTTCACCGACAGTGGGTGCAGCATGACCTTTCCCTGACCCCCAAAGCTAAGGCCTGTGGACTAGAAACTGAAAATATGGCTAACATGGCTATAGAATATACTGAGATTGCAGTGAACTGAGATTGCATAGTTCACTAAGCAAAATACAACAAAATATATTTGATTTGAGTTTTGCATATGATCATTAACTAACAATACTATTGCTTGAACTATATGATCAGTGAAACAGTTTTCCACATTTCTTAATTATCTTAAATTATTTTAGTTAGAAACAATGAACTAATCAGTATGCTAAATAAAATGTCAGCTGGGTTATAGTAACATTTAAATAGACTGTATTGGAATGGGATATGACAACAAGTATGATGACAATATGTAAAGCAACATTTTTCACATTTGAGATAAGATTTGAAAATACATAAGGGTCGTTCCTTGAGTGCCTTTTATGCTCGTGACATTATGTGTGTAGATTTTGATAAAACACAACAGTTGTATCACATACACTATATATACAAAAGTATGTGGACACCTCTTCAAATGAGTGGATTCGGCTATTTCAGCCACACCCGTCGCTGACAGGTGTATAAAATCAAGCATACAGCCATGCAATCTCCATAGACAAACATTGGCAGTAGATTGGCCTTACTGAAGATCTCAGTGACTTTCAACGTGGCATAGAATGCCACCTTTCCAACAAGTCAGTTCGTCAAATTTCTGCCCTGTTAGAGCTTCCCAGGTCAACTGTAAGTGCTGTTATTGTGAAGTGGAAACGTCTTGGAGCAACAACGGCTCAGTCGCGAAGTAGTAGGCCACACAAGCTCACAGAACGGGACCGCCGAGTGCTGAAGCGCGTAGCGCATAAAAATAATCTGTCCTTGGTTTCAACACTCTCTACCGAGTTCCAAACTGCCTCTGGAAGCAATGTCAGCACAAGAACTGTTCGTCGGGAGCTTTATGAAATAGGTTTCCATGGCCAAGCAGCCGCACACAAGCCTAAGTTCACCATGCACAATGCCAAGCGTCTGTAGGAGTGCTGTAAAGCTCGCCGCCATTGGACTCTGGAGAAGTGGGAATGCATTCTATGTAGTGATGAATCACACTTCACCATCTGGCAGTCCGACAAACTAATCTGGGTTTGGCGGATGCCAGGAGATGCTACCTGCCCGAATGCATATTGCCAACTGTAAAGTTTGGTGGAGGAGGAATAATGGTCTGGGGCAGTTTAATTTTTTTTTTTGGGGGGGGGCTAGGCCACTTAGTTCCACTGAATGGAAATCTTAACGCTACAGCATACAATGACATTCTAGACGATTCTGTGCTTCCAACTTTGTGGCAACAGTTTGGGGAAGGCCCTTTCCTGTTTCAGCATGACAATGCCCCCATGCACAAAGCGAGGTCTATAAAGAAATGGTTTGTCGAGATCGGTGTGGAAGAACTTGACTGGCCAGCACAGAGCCCTGACCTCAACCCCATCAAACACCTTTGGGATGAATTGGAACACCGACTGCGAGCCAGGCCTAATCGCCCAACATCAATGCCCAACCTCACTAATGCTCTTGTGGCTGAGTGGAAGCAAGTCCCTGCAGCAATGTTACAACATCTATTGAAAGCCTTCCCAGAAGAGTGGAGGCTGTTATAGCAGCAAAGGGGGGACCAACTCCATATTGATGCCCATGATTTTGGAATGAGAAGTTCGACGAGCAGGTGTCCACATACTTTTGGTCATGTAGTGTACATCTACGCTCTAACTAAATGTAACCATATTCCAATAATAGTGTTTTCATAAAATTATTTTTTCAAAAGAAACATTGAACATCTAATAGTCAAATCATAATGTAAAAGCAGGTGAGCTGGTTCTATTCTTTTAGGCCATTTTCTGGTGTTTTGTGGTGGAAAACTGAGCCTGTCAAGCATAACACATCAACCATGTTACCCATGCATAGATAGGCTAGACATTTTTTATAAAAGTTCAAATGTTTTGTTAAGCTTGCATTCAATTGCCCTTCCCTGTTGCAAACAACAAGCTTCCATTCTCCCTGTCACAATGGGAGTTATGGCTGATTTAAGATGAAACTGTTAACCCTTTTACTTTAATTGGCACTTTCATTTTTCTTAATTGAACCTCTTGAGATGGGAAAACATGTGTTTCATGAAGTTGAACATGTGTTCTTTATGACAGAATGTTAAAATTAGGTCAAATAAATAGTTATTATTTACAAAATTACACTACCCAAAAGGCACTTTATTGAACAATCCCATAACATATTATCTATGACAACACAGAATATAGAGTTGGTATTGTGTTTGCCCTTTTTATTTACTGATGGACAGAGGGAAATAGGCACATATATAGTATGTTGCTTGAATTACCTGAGTTTCAGATAGATTTAGCTGGCGGGCCAGCTCTGTCCGTTCCCTCCCAACCACATACTGGCACCTCTGGAACTCCATCTCCAGACGATAGAGTTGCTCTGCGGTGAAAGAGGTCCGGGTTCGTTTGGGGACGGTCCAAATCCAGTCCCTTTGGCAGAATGATTTCTCGGATAGACCCTTTGGCATCTACAACAAAGAACACGTGACCATTGAAGCTTCATCAATGATAGCTATATTCAAATTTAGAAACACTTGTGGGTCATCAGGTATCCTAGTGGTTAGAGAGGCGAGCCAGAAAACGGACGGTTGCTAGTTCAAATCCACAATCTGACAGGAAAAATCTGTTGGGAAGTGAGCTGGCAACCAGAGGGTTGCTGGTATCAAATTCTCGATGCCATTGCCTACCATTGAGCAAAGCACTTAACAGCCCCCCTGCACCTCTCCAAAAAACCTGTGTTTTGGAGGGGTTGGGTTAAAAGCGGAAGTCAAATTTCGGTTGCAATTGACCAATAAAGTGATCTATTAATCTGATCTTAAGCACATCAGAATGACCATTCATAATTTTTTGTAATATGTGTATGCCTACTGTTGTCCATGAAATGAATGATTGCCATCAATGAAATACTTAGGTCTTGTTGCAGTACCTAGCATAAAGCTGTATGAACAAATCTATGATGATTTTACTATATTTCCAAAATAAAAGACATAATAGAAAATACATAATGTTAGGCTAATAAAACTGAGGATCTATGTCCATCTCTATTTAATTACATTACACAATACAATATTTTCTGATAACTAAGAATGTCTGCAAAATTGAAAAATTAACCATCCAGGTATGCACATGAATATGGTGCATTATTTATATGAATGCATACAATGCATAATATCAACCACAGTTATATGCATTACTTCAGTTGATACACTGACATTTTCCCAACCAACTAGTGTACTTTGCAGGCTAACTACGGGTAACCTCAAATGCACTTAAACCAGTTTTAAAAAAAGTATTTAATTCATTTGAAAAGTGCAGTTTACAGAAGAAAGTTGATTTTTTTTAAATCTACAGAATATGATGATATTTTATTTTTATTTCATTGTGATAATTTCCTTTGACCAACCTAAAATGAGTAAACTAACCTCAAGTGTTTTTCCTCTAGTTTTCTACAATCCAAATCTAATGTGTAGTTAAAAAGTTGTACTTTTTATCATGTGAATGGAAAAATAATTCAAGGAAATACATTTAAATCATTTGATTTGATATTAATTCCATAGCTGTATTAGCTTTTATTTACTTAATAGAAAAGAGAGAAAAGATTATATGAAAAGGTTATTTCTTAAGAATTTACTCAATGAACTCAAAAGTATTATTATTTCTCTCATCATTTAAAAGCAGCAAAAGATAACCTGAAAGTATGAACATTTATGTTTGAAAGTAGTTTTCATTTATTTGCTAAATTATTTCTATACCAATTAGCAAGGATTATTCATGTTTTTAAACAGTCTCTATGTTTGACCAACTGTGTTAAACAGATTAGATAAATGATGTGTGCATATTCTGCTACAATTTACCCCTGAGGCCAGATGACACTCATAACAATTAACAAATGTATTTTTATTAACTACATATGAAATACCTTGAATCAAAGATGATATAAGCAAATACATTTGACGTCCTTTAGTATTGCTTATTCAACATCTGTATCTGAATAAGATAAGATAGCGAAAACCTGTGTATCATATCCTTTTACACTTTTGTGAATATTGTTTTCAAATACAAATAGTGTGTTTTCATAGAGACAAATTGTATATTATATAGTAGCATGAAATTCATTCTTAATTTTAAAACCAAATGTATTTAGAAATCTTAAATAAAGGTGTGCTATGATTCTATAAGTGTGCCCTATAATTCAATTGCAGAAGAAACGAAATTGTTGTGAATGTAAATCATTTTGATAGAAGGAGTATGTCACAGGGGTTACATACGTCATGAAAATATGCACATAGTTCATTTTTACAAAAGTGCTCAAAATGTATGTTTGTATTTACTCTTTTATGTTTGTATTTACTATTCATTCAGAATGGTTTTAGAAAAAGTCAAAAATACTTGTACAATGACTAAAACTACCATGTTTGTTTTTTTGCTAAATGTTGCACTCTCTCCCGAGAATGCCCCCAGAAGGCTATAGCGCATTGTTAACAGATAGTGCCTCATTTTCCTGTGCCTTTTCTGAAAATGAAAGAGTAATAAAATAACAACATAAACCAAATAGCACTAGGGGAAAATGTGCTTCTGTGTGTCAAATAAAAACAGTATAATTAACAAGTTGAACGTTTCTAACGGTTAAAAAATGTAATCCATCCCAATGTCTCAAACATATTGTAGACACAGTTTAAAAACAGAGAATTTGTTTGGGAACCATGTCGCAGTATGTCTGTTAAACCAAAAGCTATTCCTACGCTTCTTGAGTCTACACAAAGCCTATACCTGAATCCCATATCCAAAACTTCTGTCTGGCAATTCAGCATATCCCACATAGCAAATTATCTTATTTAATCCTGTGGATACATATAAACTAAAGCAATGAGTAAATAGACCCCATACGCTGCAGCATTATTACATACGAGTAGAAATCCTCTCACCTCGGACAAGTATTCTCCGGCAGTAGTCTGGGTCCCCTGTGATCCCACCTTTCTTCTCACAGTTTTCCACCATCCCAGATCGCGAGAAGGACTCCTGCTGATCCTTTAGGAAGGTTTTGGGAAGGTTTCCCTGGGAATCCTTGCCGTCTTTCCCATCCTTTAGTCCATCATCCAGCCCCATCCCCAGTTCTGTCTCCTGGTTGTATCGGACCTCCATACTCACTTATCCTCTCCGATATTTCTTTCTTCCCCCACTTTCTTTACTTTGTTAGGTGAAAAAAGGGATTGCAGAGAGTATTGCACGTTGTGTTGTCTCAACAGTGTGGCTTTGTTTTAAAACAGCACCTTTTAGACCAGAGAGTCAGCTACCTAATGTTCGGGGGACACTTGCCTCACCCGCCAAGGTGCCCTATTATCATTGTCCAACTCACTTGCACAATGATCATGGACTTATCACTGAAACTCAAAAGCGATTTAATGCCACCTCGCCTTGTTACATACACATCAAGCTGATAGATGATCTCCAAATAATCTGAGCGATGGATCGACACACGCTCGCTGTTTCAATTGATTGCGGTAATGTTGCTGCTTCCACATTTGCGTAACCTCATGAATACACTAAATTGTTTGGGAAATATATCAGGTCCTAATAGAGGGGTTCGCTCACTCCGTCCCCCTCTGTCAGCCAGCTCTCAGTCAGGGAATCAAGAGAAATGATTGGTCTCGCTTTGCAAAATAGCCTCCCTGAGCACACAGACACAATCACAGGGGTACAACACTTCCAGAAATGTTCCCAGGCACTTCATTCTTTGATCCCCGGAGCATGGCCAGCCATTTTCAACGTTTCTCCGGAGTTGGTTGTCTGGCCACGATGGCTAACTTTAATCGCATTTATTGTGTCTTTCGCCAATGATCGTCCCCCTGCAACATAGAGCTCTTGCCGCTATAGTGCTTTCACAGGCGAATGGGAGTGAGTGAGTGAGTGAGTGAGTGAGTGAGTGAGTGAGTGAGTGAGTGAGTGAATGAGTGAGTGAGTGAGTGAGTGTGAGAGTGAGTGTGAGAGAGAGAGAGAAATAAAGGAGAGACAGAAAAAAGTGAATCCACCCCGATTGGAATTTGTACTCTCCACGACAGCTGATTCACAAAAACCACCTGGCTCTGCTTAACAGGAACTGTGTTAAAGTTTCCTGTGTCGTCACTCAGCACGACGAACAACAGCAGGAAGAGCAGCCCACAGGTCCTAGTCATTAACGCAGCGTCCCCACCATTCAGATATATGCACCAGAAGCAGTCTGCTGCACTTATAATCTTAATCTGAAAAACACAAAAAGGGGACAAAACTTTGTCATTAGTGCCTGCACTCACACCAGTGGAACAACCCCCTTCTCCAGCACTCTACTTCCATCCTTCTACCCACCCACCCACCAACTCTTAGCTATTTTCATTGTCAGAGCAACAATATCTCAGGGAGCAGTGGCTAGTAATCCAATAAGACCATTGATTAGGCTACAATGATTCAATTCAAACCAATGGCCTTGTCCAAGGAACATTCTCCGGCCCTTCTCGTCACCTTGCGGGGCCAGAAGCCCTCTTCAAGCTGCCCCCCTCCCTGAACACCAATCATTCCTTTATGGGAAACAGAGAGGAAAAGGAGTGAAAGATGGCAATTATCTAATTGGACTATTAACAAACAATTCTGTGAGTGTGGCTGCCAGGCAGCAGTCTTGGGGTGGGTTTAAGGGCCGCATGTTGCACTAACTTTATTCACTGAGTGTTTGGGGACGGCTGGTTGGAGTGGAGAAGGAGCGATCGTTAAAGAAAGGTAAAAGGGGGCTAAAAAGGGAACGACTGAAGGGGAATTCTGCTTCTCAAGCTGTGTTGCTGAGCTTCAGCCTGGGAAACAGCTTGCACACGCAGCCCTGTGGCCTCTCAGGTTCCAACAATGGCTCATCTTGAAAAATCCAGTCCCCAATTGCTAGTTCTACAGCAATATTGCAAAGACTGTAAATTAGTTTGAATATAATGTGAAAATACAAAATCCATGCAATATGCAGGAAAATAGTATGTACATTCAAAATGTTGAGTATTCAAAAATCAATGGGTGTGCGTTGAGAAATGAAATGCTCTATTCTCTTTTTGACACTTAGCTACTGCGTGTCTTTTCACAGGCTTTCACAGCTAGTTCCTCAGGTTTAATTATGAGCTCACTTGAAAGCTTTGTATACATCAAACAAGGCAGTGAAACAGTACATTAGTAACAGTTGCTCTATACCTGTGCAATAATGTTGTAATTACTATAGTAACAACATTGTATTAACATGCTGTTACGTGGCGATTTAGTAATCACTTTATAATGGCATTGTTATGGACTTGAGCGCTCTTTGTTGGTGAAATAAGGAACAGTGAACTCCATTACTATGAAATCAGATTGCAACAACTAAAATGCTGGTACTAGTGTATTAACATGGGTAATATTACAGGTAAGAGCAAGTTGATGTAAAGTGTTACCAGGACCAGCGAGTGCGCTAATACTGGTCAAATTGGGACTGGTTGGGCACAATATGAAGAGGCAGTGGTTGTGATGTGGTTATTAAATGGGCATGGCCTTCCCCAGTAACAGTCCTGGCAATGCAGGGTGCCCTCGGATAAGATGATAAAAGCTAAAGGAATACACTTAGAGGCTGCACCCCATGGCGCTGCAGATTTAGTCATTTCCACTCTATCCAAAAAGAAGGTTACATCCCTCCCAATAATGGGCATTATTCAAGAGAGACTAAACAGTCTTAGTTATAGTAACATTTTGCAACAGAGATAGCACTATAGCATTATCCTCCCACAAATACTGTGGTTTCCGCTTATAAGAATCACAGATAAAAGAATCAACCATTTATGGTGGAGAAAAAAAATGGTAGGCAGAAGCCTTTGTAGACTTACAATTACTTACTTTGCTTGTAAGAAGCAATTGGTTATAATATTGTCAAAATGTTCAAAATTGTGTGGGTTGAATTTGGTTCTTTTAAAAGAAGTAAATTGTGGTACACATTATTTATATATGTATCTATATGTATAGCTCTATGGCAGATGGTAGGGAAACTACCCCTAACTTTTCCCTCAACCTGTGTCCCCAGTATCCCACTTAACACTATCCCTTCCTATAACATGCATCTGTAGCTCCATTCAGAACCTCTCTCAGAACACCTAACAGCAGCAGCCCCCCAACTGGAAGCTCTTAACCATAGATATTGGTCATCATGGGTGGGTCATCATGGGTGGGCTAGCGACTGTTTACAGAAAAGGCCAAGTGCAAGCAGGGCCACTACCACCACCAGTTCTAGTAAAGCGATAAGACATTCATCATGATCACAGCCAGCATGATTAGTTGGAACGTTCAGTATCAGAGCCTTGCTCTTTAAGTGTGATTGTGTGTGTGTACAGTGTAATGGGTTGGGAAACAGAGAGAGGACATTTCAATATCCTTCCGTCAATCAAGGCAGAAAACTGGAGGTTTCCTCTAAACACATTTATGCCTGGATAGAAATCAATGTGTTTCACAAACAGGCCCCCGGAAATCAAATAGACCTGCACGTAAAATACAAATCAGTTCAATTGGGGTGGCATGATGATGTGGTGTGAAATTTGTAGCTATCTCAAAGATGAAATGGTAAATGTTGACACAGACCAGACAATAACATCCACCTGTATTTTTATTAGAATTATGTTATGCTGCCTAAGCAAAGGCCCTCCTGGCATTAGTGAAGAACAAGTTCAGTCAGCAGAGAGAACCTGAGAACTATATTTTTGTTAATAGGTAATTCATGCCTAATTACCAAGCTTCCCAGTATTTTCTGTGGGTAATGTTACTTGGCACCCTCTAACAAAGCCTCTAATAGAAGGTAACTTGCTACCACAGGATAAGACTTGGCAAATTATACAAAATGTGGTAATTCAAGGTAAATACATGTATTTAAAGAGTTTTACGTTTACAATTAGCATGATTATGTTCCTTATAGTAGTAAAGCCAGCTGTTACCCGAACTGAATTATGTAGTAAGGAGCTTGTTCTTTCTAGGTACATAGGGGACTGCACAGGCAACTGAGCTGGAGAGTCTTGTGTGGAGGTTTACAGCTGGTTTTACATTTATGTATTATTTCTTGTCAAAACCCTTGAGCCTTACAATGGAGTGCTTGTGGTTCCAAGTGATATTGTGAAAACAAACTTTCCTCCCAATTATACACAACATTTTGAGACATGGGGTTTAAAAATGACCAATTGTTCTTAAAGGTCCTAGCTGCTCCATTGTTTTCAAAGAGAGGGGATGTCAGCTATCTTACGCCTTTTCTCAATCAACAGGTTATAAAGACAAAGTAATGTAAACCTACAGAATCCTAACATACATATTACACCAATGCTGAAATGTAGCCTGTAAATGAAAAAATTACTTAATGTCTTGATATTTAATACTGTCTTGTTGTACTGATGTTTCATTTAACAAGGCCTAAATAAATTATGCTTCATGTCATGAAACAGAAATGAGGCAACATAATCATACCCAATTCATACTCCACCAAAGCATTACCGTGAGACCTGTTCTCCCCTCTGTGAGCTCAGTGAGGGGGAGGGAGAGGACGAGGATCAAAAGCCAGGGAGAGTGAGGGGAATATTTCAATAGGTAGGCCCTCATCACATATCGGGCCTGTCTCTATGTAGTGACTGTTCTAAAACTGTACACTGTATAATCGGTACAACTCACAGCAGGAGTAATCCTTTGTAATTCTCTATCACGCAATACAGTTAAGATGAGGTTAAAAGTAGAGCACCACAGCCTTCCCCACTCGGTCTCCCATGTTTCCAAACACTCACAAAGATCTACCCCAAAAATCCATCTGCGCGCCTGAAATGACATCCATTGTTGGGTGGGAAAAAGTATCTATTTAGAAAGCCTTTGTGGGTCTTTTCATCACGACTGTCATGCTTAGTCTTAAGGTACACAGTGACTGACAATGGCACATAACTGTTCCAGAGATACAAAGGAACTGCTAAAATTACACCTGTAGCAATTACTACAATGATGAATTATACAGGACAAAGAGTGCTATCTAGAACTACTGAGGAATACTGTAGAAAAATCTAAGGACCATACTTGCTTCATCATAGCTTTTAGGCAGTCTGGTAATGTATATATTTTTTTGTATTTTCAATAGTAGATTAGTGCATGAATGCGGTGATGTTTTCTTTCGTTTTATATACCAGCATCCTGACTATTCAGAATATCCAGAATATTGAAAGATACAGCTGTCAATGTGAAATATTCATATTTTCAAATAAATTAGAAATTAATGGTTTTATTCATTTAAAGCACGTGTCAAACTCATTCCACAGAGGGCCGAGTGTCTGTGGGTTTTTGCTCTTCCCTTGTACTTGATTGATGAATTAAGGTCACTGATTAGTAAGGAACTCCCCTCATCTGGTTGTCTAGGTCTTAATTGAAAGGAAAA